GCTTGGAGCTAAATTCAACCAAAACAGTAAGTTTTCATTTTGGTCCTACAATCTGTGAATTATTTCCTACTTTATTTGAGCTAGTTGTTATCCTGATCTTTTATAACATATGTGCCTATCCAGACACAGTTAGACTCAGGGACCCTTAAGGTGAATTCCAAGGCCTTCTTTAGTTACAGTGAGAACTGTAATATACATATATTAATATAGATAAAGTACATTGGTACATAAAAGTATATAAATAAAAGAAAAATCCCTGTACCCTTATTTCGATAGCCTAATATGAAGTGTGTGCACAGACTATAATATCTAAAAATATCTACAGGACATTTTAATGGTTATTGGCTTAGGAACTTATTCATTCTGTTGATATTAATTGCCTCTTTGAAATTACATATGAATGTATCCCAGATCAGGTTTTAAAGGAAAAACCTATCCTGCAAAATAGTCTACTTATGCAGCCACCTTAATACTAATCACAATATTATAGCTTTTAATTTCAAATATATTTTCTCCATATGAGGACTTTTTATGACATAAAAGTCAGTTATCTTTCCCCATCCTCAAAAGCCAAGAGGGAGGTAGACAAAAAATAATAGGTTTATTTTGCATGATCAGCTATCAGTTTTCTTTCACATTTTTCACATTTGTTGCCGCTACTTGACTTACTCAGTTTTTACATTTAAAGGAAAAGAGTGAAATATTCAGATAAACTTGTAGACTCAAAGAAAATTATAACCTGCATAGGAAGAGGCATCTAGTCCAGTCTCCTACTCAAAGCAGAACAATTGATTGGTTGTAGTGATCTATTAGATCAATATAGAATATTCAGGAGTTTAGTTTTGGTTTTGAACACCAAAATGGAACATTAGCCTGCGAAAATCTTCCAAGACTGGTGAGACCAATGGACTATGACTTCATTCAAACTCGTATGCATTTAAGGATTTATTCAAATCACACTTTTCCCTAAATATACTTTAAAGATCATCTTCCTATGTAGGTTTTCCTTCTTTCGATTTCATCAGGCAAAAAAAAAAAAAAAATTGTGAACTTAGCACTGTACAATTAAACCATTGAAGTCTCCTATTTCAAGTGCAGAAACCCCAACTTGTTCAGCCATATTGGAAGCAAACATTGGAAAGTTATCGATTAAAAGAAGAGAAAAAACAGGATACAAAATAATCTAAAAAATAATTTCAGTAAGAGTAGAATCAGAATAAACAATTTTTTTATTCTAAGTCCATTTTCAAAACCAGAAGGTATCCATAGAACTTTCTGATGTTATCAATCAAGCTGCTTTGATAATATAAGCCTTCATCAGCAAAGAAGATGTTTATTCCACTATCCAATTTTGAGCTGGCAGTTACAGTGATTTTGGTGGCTTCTGACAAGAAAGATAAATGGAGAAAGAAGAGGATCAGATGAGCTGCATCAGGAAGCAGAGCTTTCAGTTTGTATTTTAGGGTTGCAAGGCAGCTGGATAAGTACAGACATACCGGGCAGGAGGCTGCTCTTGTTCCAGACTCTGGCACTCCTTTCTTGGCTGGCATGCCAACTGAACTTCTTTTTCCATCATGCTGTCCACTTTTCAGGCTAGCTATCCCCTACACTGACATGTCCAGCCTTGTCATTAGAAACCACCCTTAGGTGGCATTGGCAGAACTTTTCATATGCATTAATCCTTTTGATAAATAATAAACATTCATTGCTATAGATGGAGAGTAGTCAAACTTTACCTCAAAGTTTCAAGTTCCTTTTACTTCAAATATTCCTGAAATCAAGGCTGTTACTTTTCTCTCTTCCCCCTCTCTTTATGACTCTCCTGAAGCCATGAACCCAACAGCATGTTCCTGACATTCTCTGTCCTTCCACTTCCTCAATGCTATAATCCCTTTGTTGTGAGAATATACCTTTCCAAATACCCTAAAAGCTTGTTGCATTTGCTTCCAAGACAACCCCAGTGTGTCCCCACTTGTGGCTCACTGGGTCCCCTGGCTACTTCTGGCTCTCTGAGCTGCTCTTTTCCTGCCTTGCTTGCAGATTTGTGAGCATGTCTGCGCTGCTGAATAACAGCAGGCTAGACAATGATCTTGGGATCTCTTTGGGACACGGTGGTTTCAGATTTGTTGTGGTCTTGACCCCTAGGACTAAGAGACAGGCCATAAACTAAAGCTAAGCGGTGGCAGTGGTTCTGATCTTGAGCTTGCTTGCCCATGTGCCCTCCCTCTTGTCTTTAACAGCACAAATGCAACCCCTCTATCCCAATGTCTACATCCAAAATCCAGCTGCAGCATCACACAGGCTCTGAGCACTCCTGACCCAGACAGGGAGGTGTGCTGGAGACCACAGTGGCTCCTTCCTGCAGAAACAGAGGCATGGAGGAGCAGGAGAAAGGGGAGATGCCTCAGTGTATGGAGGAATCCCTGACAAATGAGCACCAGCTGGGAGTTGGAGACCACTCACGGCATGGTGGGTTTGGATCCACACACCAGCCTGAACTGGGGATGTGTCTCAGTCTGCACACCCATAAATGCATGTACACTCCAGGGGGTGTGTGTATGAATGGGTGCATACATATATGTATACAAACATATATGCACATTACAGCTTCCCTTGGTTGGCCACAATTTTCCAGAGAGATAAATAGCAAAATGACAACAATCTACACTCAAGTTCTCTCATCTGAAAGCTACTAAGTTTTTACAAAATATGAATTTGTAGGTAATATTTATGTCATGTATATGATCTAGATGCATTCTGGTTCCCCAGATAGATTACTCTTTGCGGATGCTCACTGGTTTAGGTCATGTCCTTTATTTTTACTTTCTCTTTCTTTTGTTCTTTCCTCCTTTTTTTTTTTCCAAGAGATAAATAAAAATAAAGATAATAAAATATAATAAAACATAAATAAAATAAAATTAATAAAAATATATTAACATAGCCTTTGAAAACTTGGGATAAACTGAGGAAAATAAAGACAAGAAACGGGCTGGGTGAAAACTAAATTTCTGCTATGGAGGAAACTCTGAGAATAAGAACAATCTTATATTTAATTAAGAAACAGACAAATGTTTTTTCACTGAAACCTTACAACCAAAACACATTTCAACTAGGACCAGAAAATTGCTACATCTGTACATAAAAGAAGCAGCATAATTTAAAACTGAAACTCAGTAAATTGCAAATTCTGAATGTCTTACATAACTCTATTATGAGGAAGGCTTCATTTCTGCTAAAAACCCTTGAGTAGTAATATCTGTTGGCTCTTCGTGCTCTTAGCAAATTCTCTTTTAATGGTTTAAATAAATATTACATAAATTACAGAGGCATTTTTTTGCTTTCGATAATCAGAATTTGAAACTAACACTAGCTGTAAAAAGTGATTTTATATATGAATGTTTACAAGGTAAAATGTGTGGATTCAGAAGGCTGCAGAATTTGCATCATTCATCTGATAGCTGGGGGCTTAATTCCAGAGTGAATTAAAACCTGTGCCCAGCCTAATGTCCGTGGCCAGGTCCCAGTCCCCAGCTGGTATGGCCACATGTTTAAACTCATGAATTTGTGGGGAACCAGAGCCCAGGAGGCATGTCAAACACGAGCCCCATTCTTTGATGGGATAAACCAGGCAGCAAAAGATTTGCAGGCGTTTTCATGAGTCTCTACAGCATGTGTCTATGTTTAGAGCAATAAACATTAAAATCCAAGCTAAAAAAAAATGTGGGGAATCTGTAGCAGGTATCTATATTAGCCAGAACTCATCTACTGCAACACAATGCACAGATTTTTTTTTCTAGGCCAAATAAATATGTCCTCAGGCAAATAATCTGTCCACTTAATAATTCAGTTACTGTACATATGGAGTCCCATTTTCTGTGAGGAGATGGAACAGGTTCCTGTTAAAATGAATACTCTTTTCTATCTCTTCAAATTAGCAGACTGGCTCTGCAGTCTCTATTCTGGAAACATTTCCACTGGCAAAACTAGGAATTGGGACTAAGAAGCACCAACCAGACACTTTCTAAGATTTTAATGGGAGGTCTAGGGGGCTGGTGTTTGAAGGTAAATCTCTAATCAAATAGACAAAAGTTCATTCAAAGAAGAACTTAAGGTCAAATTTGCAGTCCAAGAATTCTAGAAAACAACTGGCCTTCCAGATTCCTTACTTTTTACCATTTTCCCTGTCCTCAAAAAGTCTGTCTTCTATCTACTGCCATGTTATTTAGAGTGGAAAATCACATTTCCTATCACGTGTGACCCAAATCAGGAGTCAGGTAACTAAACCCAGTGAAAATGGCCAGATTATGTACACAGAATTCATAAGCAATTATATAATCACAGAACAGCCTACTTTCTGGGGAACTTCCAAAGATAATCTTGTCCAAATTTCTGTGGGAAAGGGAGATTAGATGGTATTGTCTAGCAGCCCGTGACATTCCATCTTGGAAACTTGCAGACACTACCACATCCCTGGAAATGTTATTCCAGCAACTAGCTGGTCTTTAATAATTTCTTTCTTATGTCAAGATGAAATTTTTACCAGTGCAATTTCTACCCACTGCCCCTTGTCTGCTCCATGTGGCTCTTTGTGAAGAGAGAGACACTCGGTCCTCTTTGCAATCATCCTGTAAGTACTGTTATACTCGTCATTAAATTCCCTCAGAAATTCCCCTTTTCCACACAGAAAAGACCTATCCTTTTCTCTCTCTATCCTCTGTCTCTCTCTCTCTCTCTCTCAATTTTTCTGATAATTGACATATTATCATGCTAGTGCAGGAAGCTCATTCAGAGATTGGTAGTTCTGAGAGCTGCCACAAAGGATTTGAAATCACAGTTATTCTTTCTCTGATCATATCCTTTATCCCTCCTTTCAGTTATTCTGGAAATCCATTTCTGGTTTGGAATTTATTATCAGAATCAGGGATGCATCAATAACTTCTATGACATTTCCAGAGCTTAAGGAAAGATATTTGGAAAAGGAGTAAGAAACTGTGACTCACCTAACCAGAGGGACTGAAGGTTTGTGCAGTCCTGACGCTGCAGCTTAAAGAGGGCAGGTTTTAGACACATACTCTATGCACTGCTGGCCTGACAGGAGTGGTTTTCTGGGTGTTAGGAGCTATTGAATGGTAACCCAGTCAAAGCGAGTGGTATCTGGAAGTGAGGTTTTCATCTTCTGAGATTAACTGCTGCAGTAACAATGTCATCATGGGGAGGGCACAGACGTTACTTCTCCCTGGTATTTTCACTGAGGTTTCAATTAAACTGTTCTTGAACTGTGCTTGGAGAGGAATTAAGTGTGATCAGCACATATTCTGAGTCATCAGAGACCACATGAAAAGTTCACATCCCAAGGAAATGGCAGGACTCCTGCTGAGCAAAAGAGGAAAAGGAATCAGGACACACACTTCAACCAAAATGATGGTATCTCTGGAAATAAGTAGGTGAAAATAAAGTTCCGACATAAATTGGATTCCTGTGATGCATCTATTGTGACTGCACCTTGGCATGAATGAAATTAATGCAGGAGTTTTAAACATTTCACATTTTTCTGAGTCACCAGAATTATGGAAACATTCATGACTTAAATATTAATCACAAAACCTAAAGGTCAAATCTTTGATCATATTTCCACAGAGATGTTAAGAGTCTATTAGAAGTGTTTGCCTTCACACAATGTACTGTGGATCTGCTGTAGGTCTGTAAAGGCATTGCTATATAGGAAAACTTCCTATTTTTATGTCTGAGTTGTGTGGGATTGGTCACAGGGTGAGTTTTGATAATCTCAAATCTCCTTGCACAACCTGTCTCTGTTAGTCTTTTAGGCTTCCTTCTGTCCTTGTTGTGTGATCCTTTCTTGTCCCCACTGCAATGTTCTGTGAGATTCTACTAGAAGACTATTCTCTCATTCAAGGCTAGGACAATTCTGCCCTTTTGTACATGTATATTTAATTAAAATTCACCAAATATTCAGTAGCTCTTAAAAATATTCTTTATTATTTCTGCTGGGCTGAGAAAGTGATTGAACATTGGGGTATATTATAAACATTTAGTGAAAAAGGTTTGAGACCCCTTTAGAGGGCACTTTGCTTTTTATTCTGCCTGCAAGGTACACCTATGCATGTTTGGTTAGAAGTGTTAAAAAAAAAAGCAGATGAAAGCAACAGACTTTTTTGTCAAGCTGTGACAGAAATCAAATGCAAATAGATTTCAGTTCAAGACTGTTTGTTAAGTGTCACGTCAGTGAGTATTAAATGCAGCACATGTCGTTTTACAATGAGCATACTGTATATGAATTTTATTGATTTTTTTTCAAAGAGGATACATTGAATAATGTACTCTTCCTTACCAGTGCCAGCTTACAAGTGTGTCTTCATACTTGTGTATGCACATTCATTAGGCTCCTAAATGCTGCTGCCTTACTTAGCACATCTCGTTTTGTGGAGGCTGGGATTCAGGCTGTAGAAAGACCTACACAAATGATTCTCTCCCTCTGAGAAAAGTGGGACAGAGTAATTTAGACTTCCCAGCATGAAGCTGTCAATGAGCAGCTTCTCAAAATGATTCACAATTAGTGCACCAGGCTTACACTAGGAACAGGTTCTCAGCTGATTTCCTTTCCACAAAGGAGTGAGTCTGGGGCTTCATTTTGCTATTAGGAATCTTACAGATGTATAAAAAAGATCATCAGAGCTGGTTAACTCTGCTGCACTTATGCTGAAGTCTTTGTGCTATGCTATGCAATAAATCTGATTTATTTATATTCTTTCAGGCTACGTATTTTTCCAATTAATATTTAGAAAAACGTGTGCCAGCATTAAATTACATGTGAAAGGTAACAGCAGCAGTATCAGGCTTATCTCCATGCACTAGAACAGCTCTTAATCATTCAGCAAAGGGAGCACTGCTCCATGGGAGATGTGATGTACATCCACTGCATTCATCTGTGTGCAGTTGCATCCTTATTTGAGCTGTGTTTGGTTTCACGTGTGCACTGCCTTGCCATTGTTTGGTGTGAGATCTCTGATTCCACAGCCACCTCCTCAAAGTACTCAGGTCATTAAGGTGCTTAGAAAAGCATATTAAAATCTGTGTCAGGTAGGCAGCTTGACAATATTGTACATACTGGACCATAATGGCTAGGTTTAGATGTTTAAATGCCAGGCTAAAGCATGCTAAAATTGTCCATAAAACTAACTCATTTAATGCATTTATTGGTGATTTTACATATCTTACCTGCAGGCTCAGTGACAGACACTCAATGTCCTGTGGAGGCTGCAAGTTACACAGAGCACTTGTAGGCCAGGCTCTTGTTCCCTGATACTTTCTCACCCACAGGGGCAGAGCAGTGTCACACATGAGCCAAAACAGTGGCCAAAAATCTGGATAATACCCTGAAATTCTGACTAACAAAAGGCTAATACTGAGAAAACTCTTCCTCACATGCTGAGTACTATGCAGGTCTAGATTTCTGCTGGAAATTTGCCATTTCTGCCTTTATTCCACACACAGAAATTATGGATTCTTCTGAATGTTCATGACCATAAGGGAAGGAGGCAAAATAGTTTTATGCACACTGTTTTTCTACATCCATGTAATCTTAAAAGTCTTCAAGCTTTACATTTCTTTTATTTGAGAAAAAGTAGTTTTCTTAAGCAATATCTAGTGGTACCTAAATGGGAAAGTATCACTGACATTCTCTTAAAAATAGCAAGACTATAGCATGACCAAACTGTGGCCTGGAAAGGGTACAGAAGTTAAAGATTCAGCTCCTGGAGTCATTTGATGCTGCTCAGTCTACTTATTTATCCATTCACCATCCATCTATCCTATCTATATTTTAGCAAAAATTGATAGACCATTAGAAGGCAGTTCCTTCTCCCTTGCAGATATTTCCTCCCCTCCAAGAAAGACGGCAAGCAGCAGTTTCTTCTGCAACGTGAAAGAAAACATTTAGGAAACTACCAGTATTTCTGTGAGCTAGGGAGTAATAAGCTGCATAACCCATAATTTTTTTGGATGGAAAAATTAAAAAAAAAATGTTGAAACTTGTTTCCATTTAATTGAGTTCTGAACAAACATACATCAATTAAACTTACTGTGCTGTTTCTTCCTGATACTTCCACTGTGGCTTTAACTGTCATTTTAAAACAGTTACTTGGTTTATTGAAAAGCTTCAGTAACAGCTGTTTTTTGAAACTGTATTTTAAGTCAGTCAGATATATTTGTAATACCAGGCAAGATTATTTGATATAAAACCTATGCCATTTGCATACAGCTTTCAGTCAAGTCTCAGGTTTTGAGGAAACAAAAGATAATACCTACAATGCTTACAAAAAAAAAAAAAAAAAAAGAATATTTCTTGGGTAAGAAAAGCATTAACCAATTTTATTTACTAGGAAAAGTGTCTCATATAAAGATATTTTTTCTTCCTCTTCTCTACCTACACTCCTCTCAGAGGAATTTTTTGATCTGCTCTTCATCTGCTTTGTCTTTTGCAGCTGTCTCTTCACTTTTTCACTTTACATTTTCTCCAAAACCATTTTTTCTGTGTTTGCCTCCTTTAGGGAGTGCTGTCATTTTTCTATTCTTTTGCTTCTTTTTCACCTCTTTTATTATTTTCTTCCAGAGCATTCTTTACTCATCCCACAGATTCATTCTTGCAATCTCAAATCTTTTTTGCAATGTTTGCCTTGCCTTCTCTTGTAGTTCTTCCCTATAGACCAAGCTCATCTTTACATGTTCTTACTATTGCAGCCTGACTGCACAGAAGAGCAGTGCTTTGGCAGCTATGTTAAGAAAACACAGGTATTATACCATAACTACATTTTTTAAAACAACCGCAGGTCAAAACCAGCATTTAGGATTAGTGGTGAGTAGTAGGCCCATGCTCAGCAGTACTTGTAACATGTTTAAGACTGAGCTGAAGCATAGAGGAGGATTATGTTTATTTTTGAGTAAGGACAAGGGCTTTGTATGTGTGTGCTTTTCATTGTATCCAGATATTTTAGTGACTTCACAGAGATATTTGCTCAAAAGTACTCTTCAAGTCTAGACCCAAAAGTTAACATTTTGCTATATCGACAAACCACCAGCCAGCATGCTAACATACTGATTTGATTTTCTAATTTAATGTAATTCAGGAAATGTAAGGAAATTACATTTTTGTCCCTTTTTTTTTTACACTTGTTAGTAAGACCATGTTAAACCAGGGAATCATTACAGAATCACAAAATCACAGAATCACTAGTTTGGAAGAGACCTGCAAGACCATTGAGTCCAACCCATGCCCTAACACCTCAACTAGACTATAGCACCAAGTTCCACATCCAATCTTTTTTAAAACACATCCAGGGATGGTAACTCCACCACCTCCCTGGGCAGACTATTCCAGTACTTTATCACTCTTTCCATAAAAAACTTTTTCCCAATATCCAACCTATATTTCCCTTGATGCAGCTTGAGACTGTGACCTCTGGTTCTGTCAGTTGCTGCCTGGAGAAAGAGACTGACCCCCACCTGGCTACAGCCACCTTTCAGGGTGTTGTAGAGAGTGATAAGGTCACCCCTGAGTCTCCTTTTCTCCAGGCTGAACACCCCCAGCTCCCTCAGTTGTTCCTCACAGGGCTTTTGTTCCAAGCCCCTCACCAGCCTCGCTGCCTCCTCTGGATGCGCTCAAGTGTCCCAATGTTCTTCCAAACTGAGGGGCCCAGAACAGGACACAGCAGGGGAAGGATGACCTCCCAGCTCCTGCTGGCCACACCATTCCATGTGTGCCTTGGCCTTGGCCTTCTTGACCACCAGGGCACACTGCTGGCTCATGTTCAGCTGGCTGTCACCAGCACCCCCAGGTCCCTTTCTGCCTGGGCACTATCCAGCCACACTGTTCCCAGACTATAACACTGCAGGAGGTTATTGTGGCCAAAATGCAGGACTTGGCACTTGGACTTGTTAAACTTCCTCTTATTAGTCTCTGCCCATTCATCCAAGCATTCCAGGTCTCTCTGCAGAGCCCTCCTACTTTCCAACAGATCAACACACGCTCCCAGCTTAGTGTCATCCTCAAATTTACTAATGAACAACTCAATCCCCTCATCCATGTCATCTATAAAAATATTGAACACAACTGGCCCCAGCACAGACCCCTGAGGGACACCACTGGTGACTGGCCCCAGCTGGATGCAGCACCATTCACCAGCACCCTCTGGGCCTGGCCATGCAGCCAGTTCTGAACCCAGCACAGAGTGCTCCTGTCCAAGCTGTGGGCTGCCAGCTTTCCCAGGAGTGTGCTGGGGGAGACAGTGTCAAAGCCCTTGCTGAAGTCCAAATAGACAACATTCACAGCCTTTCCTGCATCCACCAGGTGGATC